CCACACCCCCTCGCCCCCTACCTTTTGTATCCCACAAGCTCCCCTCTCTACCCACATCGCGTGTCTCCCGTGTATTTTGAACCTTAGCTCCTAAGTACTTGACTTTATAATATTCCCTCACAATACTAATTCTTTGGATCTTAACCCACGTTTACAACTCTTATTATTAACTAAACATATATAATTCGATCTTTTTTTTTTAATATTTATATATACACACACACACATACACACATCTCGATGTATCTAGTCTACTCCTACAAAAAAAAAGAAAAAAAAAAGATACGAGAGTTACGAAGTAATTGTTATCTCGAAGAGACTCGAATTATTTAAATTTAATCTCGTGATTTTAAGTTTTAATTAGGTATTAGTCAAATTGGGGTAGACGAATATTTCTGACAAAACTTGACATGACGTCATATAGGCTTATAAAGTGTGTTTGATTTTTGTGATATTCCAAAAGATAAACTTAGATGCTTAAATACTATTTGAATAAAGTGTCATGTTACTCTCCTTGTCATAACTTTCTCAATTTCATTATCATTGTTCGATAGCATAACATAACATAACAAGTGGCAAATTACAAGACCCTGAAATTTTTATCAAACTGTTTTTTTTTAAAATTGAGTCTAAATTTAATCCTTAAATGGTGGTCTGGTGGTCAAGTTTGTGCTCTTGCAAGTAAGAGGTGTTACGTTTGATATTTTTCACACCCCTTAAGAATCAGTCATCCTTGTTTTTCAGGGGACATTTTTAAGCTAGCTCGACTCGTGGTGACCGGTTTAAGAGAGAATAGTTGGCGCAAACCTAAAGATCACGTAAAAAAAAAAAATTTAGTCTGAATTTAATTATATCTTGGAATTCGCATAATCCTAGCAGTTGGACTTTGATTTTAATCTTTTTGGGAGCTTATGCCTTTAGTAACTGACCCTTTTGCCTTTTGTAAAACGAGAAATAGCCGAAGGAGGCTTTTATTTTTCAGTTTGGCCCCTCTACTTTTGGCTGAAGCGGTGCTTTACTGTGTTGCCATAACTGTCTAAAAAGATTATGATCAGGGGAAAAGTTAAGCATAAAATTTCGAAATGATTGCATTGGATTCTTTTATAATACGAGTGTTCAAACCACAATACCATAGTAAATTAGGGGGGGGGGGTAATTGAGGGGATGTTAAGAAATGCTAGTGAAAACACATATGCTTTTGATTAGGACATGTGTGCTGCAAATATCACATTTTTATATTTGTGTATTTACTGTTTATTATAGATATGGTGGAATAAATATTTTAAGAAATAACACTTTTAAGAAAGTTCAAACGATAAGAGCATAGTAAATAATATCTTGAATTCTCGAGATTAAATATTGTAAGGGACATCCTAGTCATCAACCAAACTACGTTGTCGTCATTCACAATGGTCATACTCCACTTGGGTTTATAAAAACCTCGCGATTCATATCTAGATCACGGGAGACGGGAGACGGGAGACGGAGCATACAAACATAAATTTCAAGTGTTAATTGATCCGAATTTTGTGAGTGTGAATTTGAATTTGTTTAGTTCATTTTTTTAAACGAGTCTAAAAAAATTGTTTAAACTCAACCTGTTTAGAAATTGAGCCGAGCTTGAACCCGAACTCGAATAACTTGACTATTTTACATATAAACAAAATGAATTTTACAAACTTGAGACGAGCTTTTAAGAATTGTTTAATAAATTGTTCAAGTTTAGTTCGTTTAAAATACGAGTCGAGCTCGAACCGAGTCTTATTCAAGTCAAATTTGAATAATTTGTCCCGATTAACATTTTTACATACATTCACCCATAAAGATTAAATTATTTCATGACAAATTATTTAATTTTTAAATGGGAATTTTTTAATTTCTGCAAGATAACATATTTTATACAATTTATAATGGTTAATAAAAGGACCAAAAACATCTTTTAGAAGTTGGCATTTTTTTAACCTACTTACGTTAAAGTGGACAATAATAAAAATAAAAGGTGCAGATATTGGGGGTGTGTTTGGACTTTGGAGTACGTATAACGGACGGATGGATTGGTTGTAGTAATAATGCACCATCAGCAGCAGAACATATTCTTCCTGTTGGCCGGCCGCCAATGTATATTGTGCGTGACTTCTACGCTCTTTCCAGTAGGAGCGCATGGGATGGGAAGAGTTAAATGCATCCATACATTTCAGACAAAAGTCGCCAATGTGGGTCCTACTGGTGGGTCAGATCACCTCAATTTCTGGGTCCACTTCTTTATGTAGGTGGAACAAGAATTCATCCGTTAGTTTTGTTTTAGTTTCCATCAATATTAATTGTCTAGGGACAAGTTTTGAAAGGAGGCGTTAAAAGAATTTCAAAAACTACCAGGAATGTTTCTGTAATTACGAGAAACTACAACAGAGATCGATATGATTTATCAAATTTCTTTTCTAGCGCACCACAAAAACCATCCAATAATAAGTGGACCTATTTGTAATTAGTTTTTTTAAAGTGAAAAACTGCGATTTAAAAATTTTTACAAAAAAATCTCCCAAAATCGTTTGGGGTGTTCTTTAAAAAGCTAAAAAACTGAAAAAATATGTTTGAAACGATTTTCTAGTTTTTTTTTGGTTATTTGTGCCAAAAAAAATAATTACATGTATAGATTTTAAATATAAATTATTCATAATGGTTCTCAAAATATAAATTTTAAATTTTTTAACGTCATTAATAATATTTTCTGAATATGATAAACTAAAAAATTATGTGGGACTCACAAAACTCTAAAAAGTCGGAATAAAAGAGATCTATTATTTATTTTATTACTCTAAAATCCTTAATAACTACTTATTTAAGATAACTCCAAAGAGATCTATTATTTATTCTCTATGTGAATCTTTTGTTTCAGCAAGGAGGAAAGTTGGGTTTTTGTTAGACCAATTAGATACTACTAGTAATCACCCACCAACCACACCACAAACTATAGGCAAAATTTAGGAGTCATCAGCAAAAATCAAACCTTAAGTTTACAATTCGTTTGTTTAAGATTTAATCCTGTATCATTGAACTACACGTGCGAGTTTATGTATGTGAATTTGAGATCTCTGTTTTTTATGTAGAGATAAGTGATATAGGGAGATATTTACACCATTATAATGGAAGTTTACATTCCATAAAAAATTGACCAACTCGTCAAAGCTGGATGCATTTTTACCAAGTTCAGCCAAAGGAAAGGACAATAATCTTTTGAGCTTTATTCGTTTCTAAGTTTCCCAACAAAGTTCAAATTAATTTGGACAATCATACAAAGTATCAAGTATGGCAATCCCCCCCCCCCCCCAACCCCCTTCCTTTAAAGGTGTTCTTTTAACCTAATAGTCTGCGTTAAGTTGTGTGTTGGTTAAGTTAAAGTTAAAGTTAAAGGGTTGCTAATTTTCTTTGATTTGGTCATTAGTGCGAGTGGAATCAACACAAGTGTGGAACTTTAACACCCCCACATTTTGACTTGCTTGTCGTTTTTGGTTGAAAATACTTTCCGTTAGATTGGAGTAAGCAACTGAGGAAAGCTTTACAAGTAGTTAGCATTTGGCAAAACAGAGATACACATGTATTTGAACTTTGGTTTTAACAACTAATTGTGATTGTTCTATCTTATAAATAGAAAGACAATCTATGTTATTAGTCTCCGAGGGACCACTATGATATTTTTTTATTTTTTATTTTTTTAGTATCGTAACAAAAAATAATAAATTAGGATTAATTACACCGAAGGCCTCCAAAGTATAAAATTTGTCTCATTTTGGTATCTAATATTTCAATTACAACATTTTGGTCCCTGAAGTATTAAATATGTTTTTATGTAGTCCCTTAAGCAGACAACATTCAAATTACTAACGGTTTTTTATTATAAACTTGACACGTGATGTTTAAATATGGGCAAAAAATAATTTGAGTAGCTCTTAAAAAAAATGTGTAATATATGTAGTTTTTGACCAACATTTGAATAGGAATTTGATCAAGAGTTATCAAAATTATTTTTTGTACCCATAGTTAGTTATTATGTGACAAATTTATAATAAAAATTTGCTAGTAATTTGAGTGTTGTCTACTTGAGGGATCACATAAAAATATATTTAATACTTCAATGACTAAAATGGTGCAATTGAAATATGAGCAATGCTATTGAGAACTAAAAATCTGACCTCATTCATTGTGACATTTGGATTGGATGTATGCTCCATTAAAAATTAGAACTTGGTGTTGATCCAATGATTCCTATTAAGGCGAATCATTATATCAACAAATTAAATCAGATTTTAGGTCAAAATAGTAGTACTCTTGAAATATTGAGGATCAAAATAAGAAAAATTCCATATTGTAGGAACTTTCAGTGTAATTAACTCAATAAGTTATATCTAATAACTCAATAATTTGACCCAAAAAATGGATGAACCCTAAAAATTGGAAAACTCTCAAGATGTGATATAAATACCCAAAAAATACAGAGACCATTACTGTAATTTATCCTTAATATGAAGGAGAGAGGGCGGGGCTGGGGGACTTTGCAAAAAAATTAGGGATTTGAGTGGTGTGGCAGTTAGTGCAAGAAGAAGAGAAACCAAGAAAGTACAAAGAAAGCAAACCTTTTTAACCTTTTAAGCCTTCAAGAAGAAGCCTCCAAGGGAAAAATCAAATCAATCTTCTTCTTGAATTGGGTCCCATCATATGTGTTGTCCATATATGTCTGTCATGCCTCAGCTCATATGAATCACATACCCATTCCCATTCTCATCCTCCATAACCCCCCATGCACGCACGCACGCAAAGATAAAAGCCAGCAATGATCACCACGAAAAGCCCCCTACCCTCCTATCTCCATCTTCTACATTACAAAACACAATCTTTGAAGAACAGAGTTAGTGATATAGAAGGAGAAGAAGATACAATCTTATTGAGATAGTAAGAGAGCGAGACAAAGAGTGGTGTGAAACTCTTCCTTTGTTCTCATAGAAATGAAAGTACCCTTTACCTCACAACAAAACCAGCAATCTGTGAGTTCAAAGTCGATCAATACTGCTCGGAATACCACTTCTCAGGGCTCCGGCAACCTGTGCTACGAACCCAAATCGGTTCGTGAACTCTGCCCAAGTCCCAGTCCGGCGGGAGACAAACCGGTGGCTAAAACTGAAATCTCGACTGTTTCTGATCATACTGTGTGGCAATTGTGTCAGTCTGATGACTCTCTTCAGGTAGACGACCATGTTCTGAACCACTTGGAGGATTGGATGAAAGAATTTGGTCTTCCTGATGATTCAACCCCTGGTTTGAAATTGAATTCCCAACTCACTCACAGCGAGACTCAGTATCAAGGAGCTCTTCCCGAATTTGCCCAACCTCACATGTTTGAAGCAACTCAGTTCATCCCCTCCGATTTCAATCTCTCTCATGGGGGCTCATACCCACCATTAAACCACAATTCCAACACGGTTGACCTCTCGAATGATCTCCACCATATGAACCAATGGAATGTTGGGTTCGATTATGTGGACGACCTCATCCGAGTCGCCGAGTGCTTCGAAACCAACTCGTCCCAATTCGCGCACCTGATATTGGCGCGGCTCAATCAACGCCTCCAATCACCCACCGGAAAACCCCTCCAGAGAGCTGCTTTCTACTTCAAAGAAGCTCTCAAGTCTCTCCCCACCGGACCAACCCCCCCTGCCACTACCTCTGAAATCATCCACACCATTAAAGCTTACAAAATCTTCTGCAACATCTCTCCTATCCCCATGTTCTCCAGCTTCACCGCCAACCAAGCCATCCTCGAAGCCGTCGATGGCTCGATTGTCGTCCACGTCATTGACTTTGACATCGGAATCGGAGGTCACTGGGCCTCCTTCATGAAAGAGCTCGCGGATAAAGCCGAGTCTCGAAAATCTAACCCACCGGCTCTTCGAATCACAGCTTTGGTTCCTGAAGAGTACGCAATTGAATCACGATTGATCAGAGAAAACCTAATCCAATTCGCTCGTGAACTCAATATCGGATTCGAAATCGATTTCGTTTCGATTCGAACATTTCAGTACCTATCTTTCAAAGCCATCAAATTCGTCGACGGAGAGAAGACCGCCGTGCTTTTGTCTCCGGCGATCTTTCAACGCATTGGGGGTGGTTTTGTGAATGATCTTCGGAAAATCTCACCCCATGTGGTGGTGCTCGTGGACAGTGAAGGCCTGATGGGATTTGGGGTGTCGTCTTTGCGTCAGTGCGTCATCGATGGCCTTGAATTTTATTCCACCGTGTTGGAGTCGTTGGAGGCGTGGAATATCAGCGGCGGCGGGGGTGGTGGTGATTGGATTCGGAAGATTGAGATGTTTGTGCTGCTTCCGAAGATTTTCGAGGCGGTGGAGGCGGCTAGCCACCCTGGGACGCCGTGGAGGGAGGCGTTTGCTGGGGCGGGGTTGAGGCCGGTTGGGCTGAGTCAGTTCGCTGATTCTCAAGCTGAGTCATTAGTGGGCAGAATCCAAGTCAGAGGTTTCCACGTGGCGAAACAACAGGCGGAGATGGTGCTTTGCTGGCATGAGAGGCCACTGGTTGTCACGTCGGCTTGGAGGTGTTAGGAAAGTGGTCAATTAGTGGAGTGGGGATTGTGACATTAGGTTATATTCTATGTATTTCCAAGGTAGGTGGTTGTGTTATGTAGTTTTTTGTTGGTGTGTAGTGGGTAAGAGAGGTTTGGAGTAATCTTTCTTTCTTTCTTTTCTGGTGGTGAATTTTATCATATTACATTTGAAGTCTGGCTTGTTTCAAAGCATAAATGTTTGTGAAACTCTTTTAAAGTATGCAATCAAGTGACATTTTTCGGTACTCTCCCTATCACTTTCTTTTCTTTGCTGCTTTTGGGTATATTTGGCCATGGGAGGTATCTCGCCAATGAACTAATTCACCCCTCCTTGGTTTGGTCAAATCATTTTCTTTTTTGGGTGGAGGAGGATGGAATCCTCCCATCCTCGCTGATTTCGAATTTCCAGGTTCACATTCTATTTCACCCTTCGATGAAAATTCAAACTCAAGTCGTCCGTGAATCACCCTTCGTATTCTATTTCTCCATTTCCTACTTAGATGACTTTGCAGAACTCATATTGGGGACCGAAGGTGCAGCATCTCCATGTTTCGGCATGTCAAAGACCAAAACTTTTTGACATTTTTCTGCCTTGTGAAAAGAATTAACAATTTTTAGTCCCCACACTGGGATTAACAGCTGAATTGCATAGGAAGAAAATATAAAAGAAAAGGAATCAACCCCCTCCACAACACACAACCCAACTCCCCCCCCCCCCCCCCCCCCCC